ATTTTAGCAACATTTGAACAACATTTGAACAACATTGAATAATATACGACCAAATGAACAATATTGAGAAACATCTAGCAACATCGAACAACATTAATCAACATTGGTCATTAAGCAACACTAAGCAACATTTGGGCAACATTTGAACAACACTCAGCAATATTCAGCAATGTTTAACAACATTTAGGCAACATTTAACAATATTAGGAAACATTTAAGCAAAATTTAAGCAACATTTAAACAACATTTAATTTGAGCAACATTTAAGCAACATTTAAGCAGCATTTAAGCAGCATTTTAGCAACATTTGATCAACATTTGAGCAACATTGAATAATATACGACCAAATGAACAATATTGAGAAACATCTAGCAACATCGAACAACATTAATCAACATTGGTCATTAAGCAACACTAAGCAATATTTGGGCAACATTTGAACAACACTCAGCAATATTCAGCAATGTTTCACAACATTTAGGCAACATTTAACAATATTAGGAAATATTTAAGCAACATTTAAGCAACATTTAAACAACATTTAATTTGAGCAACATTTAAGCAACATTTAAGCAGCATTTAAGCAGCATTTTAGCAACATTTGAACAACATTTGAACAACATTGAATAATATACGACCAAATGAACAATATTGAGAAACATCTAGCAACATCGAACAACATTAATCAACATTGGTCATTAAGCAACACTAAGCAACATTTGGGCAACATTTGAACAACACTCAGCAATATTCAGCAATGTTTAACAACATTTAGGCAACATTTAACAATATTAGGAAACATTTAAGCAAAATTTAAGCAACATTTAAACAACATTTAATTTGAGCAACATTTAAGCAACATTTAAGCAGCATTTAAGCAGCATTTTAGCAACATTTGATCAACATTTGAGCAACATTGAATAATATACGACCAAATGAACAATATTGAGAAACATCTAGCAACATCGAACAACATTAATCAACATTGGTCATTAAGCAACACTAAGCAACATTTGGGCAACATCGAATAATATAGGACCAAAAAATTAACAACATTGAGTATTGAAGCATTGAATAACATTTAAGTAAAATTAAGCGATATTTGCGTAAATTTGTGAGCAGTCGCCTATATAAGGAGAAGACTGTCGGGAACAGTTCATTTCAATCAGTGATGTCAGTGTTCTGCCCGCTCTGTGATAAACAATTCGCTAACAAGCGAAGTCTGTCCTCACACAAAAGTCGGTTTCATCGAGAGAACGTACAGTCAGACACAAGCTCTATCGTGTCAAAAGCTAACTCGGATGTGTCTGATGTTGAAATGGATTATCCTGCTGCCACATATTCAGATACTGATACAACAATATCTGAAAGATCTCATCAAGACGGTTCTAACTCTGAGGAAACAAGCGGTGATGATGAGTCAAAAACAGAATCTAGTATTGTTCGACAACGCAAAGGCAAGCGAAAAGGTGAAGTAATCAAGCAAATAAATAAAAAGGTGAAGATGTCGAAATTACTCAAAACTCTAGACGTCCTGTTACAAAGAAAATTATGTAAAGAGGAAGACACATGTTTCGACTTTTTATTCTCTTACATAATGAAAACTGAAATTTTTGAGACATTGGAGCAGCTTCTCGTTGACTGTGGACAAGATATCACCACAATTTTAAGTATTGAAGCGCGAGCTCTATTGGATGCAGTTATCATGACTACTAGTCTATCTGATGTCAACAAACTAATGAACGAGAACAAAAATATCGTTAGGAAGATTCATGAACTTTATAACCAAAACGTTGTTAACTATTGATAAGTATTTGGACATATATAATATATATGATATAGAGTTATTGAATATAGTTTTGTTTAAGTTATCTTCAAAAATCTAAACGTGTGTTTCCTTGTCTACATTATAACTTATTTAAATAATACATTATAATTATCATTCAGTATTCATTCATATGATATAATTTTAGAAAGTAGAAAATATCTAGACCAGCAGTTCTTGACAAGAGATTTGTGTCAAATACATTGCACAGATGTTACTGTAACTATGCTGTACAAGGCTTATGGCTATACAATGACGTAGTATTCTTGAGCTGCTGTAGAGTAACCATCTGCATCCTGAAAGTGCTCTTTATAAATTAGAGTTCATATCAAACAGTCAGTGTTACGTGACCGACTACGGTAAAAGAATTAAAAACTTAACCTTAAAGTTAAAGATAATAACAATTAAAGCTGAATCAGAGTCAAAATTTACGCAACACACCGCTGAACGCTGAATGATAGTGTAAGCAAAGTTGCAGGTGTTGTCCTGAAACGGTACACTCTGTCCCTAGTTAAATTTAGAAAGCACATTATTCATTATCTCACTTTATCAGCACACTTTACAAATAAAAGGTCGCCGCGTGCCAGATGTTAATAATGTCGATAGACAACTGATGTAATTGTACGTGAACGTGTACACTATACATTTAACGACTTCTGCTGTGTGATGAATGTATTATGTAGGGTTAGATTGCTTGAATATGGGTTAAACTAGGTTAAAATGTGTACCATAATAATATAATCACATTGGAGAACGACTCCGACTGGGATTCGAACTTGTAACCTCTGGCTAAAATGTGGCAGATTAGTCAACTGTGCTAAAGCTAAATGTGCCTCAATTTTAGGGGTAAACGGAGCTCGAAAAAATCCTCTTACACTACTCTGACCATGCCCGAACCTAATTGATTGGGTCTGAGGTCACGTGATTATGAGCCTATGAGGTCACGTGACTATGACGTCACTTGATTCACGATGTCAATCCTTCGCAGCTCGGTGAGGCACAGTGGTGCATCTCGCCGATCTACCGAAGTTGTGGTTGCGAGAAGCATTATTTGATGCGCGCGCGACCCAGTAGTGCATCGCGCTACAAGTAATTTGGTTTTATTTTTTATATCATTGATGGTGGCTTAGTCATTAAACATTAAAAATAGACCGGAAATTTGGATAAAATTACTAAATAGATTAAGATCAGTTTCAAGTTTTAGACAAACGTTATTATTGCTTTGCATATTGTAATAAATGGACTGACTCGGCGTGTTCACCTAACCATGTGCTTTCGCGCCACTTCGGGCGCGCTTGTTTCACAAGTCAAGAAAGGCGGGCGGGCGCGCGCTACTGCAAGCGAAAGGGCTCTGGATAGAGCAACTCGGCGTGCACTAATATGTAATATTTCGAGGAGAAAATGGTATGCACTACTTCGAAGAAATTTAAACCATAAACGAGTATTATCCGTCAATAATTATTGTAGCGCGATGCGTTACTGTGCCGCGCCACGCACTCAATGAGGCTTCTCACAGCTAGATCGGCAAAATGCGTTACTGTGCCTCGCCGAGCTGCGATGAATTGACATCGACAATTAAGTCCATTAACATTGCCTCACGTTGTAGGCCCGCCGCGCACGAGTGCGCGGCTATATCGAATGACTTTTGTCCTGATCACTGATAATGAGTGAAAGGGAATGTAAAATCAAAAATAAAACTTGCTGTGCCAAAACTTATTGTTTCAGTATGTTTACAGTTATAATAAATATGATGTATGACAAGATATTTTTGAACTCAGAATTATATGAGATTTATAAGCTTTGTGTTGACAGAGGGTGTACACCCCTTTGCCCCCGGCCCCCCTCTACTCTGACTACGCTCTTGCTTTCGAGCTTCTGTTTTTTAACTTCATAAATCATACAATTCCTGTATAAATTGAATTGGGAAATTTTGCATTTAAATGGTATACAACTGCATGGACCGCGCTACTTCGAAGAAATTTAGACGAGTAACATCCGTCAACAGAATTTAAAGATGTGATAACTAAATTGACTTGAGCTCTCATTTTTTATTTGAACTGTGTAAGAACTTGTTTAAGAACTTAACATTCTCCTACATCGAGAAATCCATATCACTTTAATGTCAAGTAAAGAAATTGCTATTCATTGGAATATTGCGAGCCGATGATTATCAGTTAAGGAAAGTTCTTTGTGTTGATGCCTAAATCTTCTTTTTTATGTGGGAGGGAGTTCCAGTTCAATTCTTTAGAGACATAACCAATAATTTTATCATCTTACTTATCAAATCAAATAATAATGACAAAAACATCATCATTATATTAAGAATCCCACCTTCCTAAATAAAAAAGATTCACAGTACGATCCATAAACTGTGATTGGTTGATAGAGTATGGTTTTTGTATATGTTATGTGGTGTTCTAATTGCAGATACGAAATAGCAATTGATGGCTCCCTATAAGGTATGCTCAACTTTTCTTGTGGTGGGTTTTAATCCCACCTGAACTGATGAAAAGATATCGAAAAACTATATTTTGACAGAAATAAAGTGGCATTGCGAACACAATAATGCTGAAAGGCTAGTGAGTCATACTGACACCGGTTTTATTCATTCATAAAAAATGTCTGTCCTTTCCAGTGGGGGTTTGGTTGACATACAATAGCATAACAATGCTATTTGTCAACCCTGTCTACATTTTTTTCTGGAATCCCCAATAAGAAAAACAAAATTTAAGAAAAACAATATTTTTATTTACCACAAAACAATCAATACATAATGTTATATTCATAAATAAATTCAAATTTGAATTTCAACCATATATATAAACAGCCCACCGGGGGAAATAATTATTTCTTTCTCCTAAATATTCATTTTGCCTCACCGATATTGTGCATTTTGCTGACAAATCAAACTATTTTCTGTTACAACACCTAAAATTCGAGAAAATTACGTCTCCCTCTGATGACAAAGCTTTGGTTTTGGAAACTTTTTCATTTAAGCTCTCTGCTTCATTCAATTTAATTTCATAATTATTTGATAGAGTAAGCAACCTATCATATTGGGTCTCTCAAGAGAAGCATCGTTTATCACTCTCTCTATGAACACTCCAATAATAGGAGCAGTATTCTGACTGTATCGTATCCAGTCTAACGTTTTACTTATACTAATACCATTATCAGCAGTGATCCTAGAAAAAATGACGTGAAATAAAGTTGCAAGTGCAAGTGGGATTCAATACGATGCTCTCGGCGCTCTCTCAAGGATATGGAGTTTGCAGGAAGGATGGTGTAATCTTGATCCCAGAGGCTAGCGGAGCAATTCCTTCTTACTCAACACAAGTCAAGGTTCGTTCAATATGGTCCCTAAATGTTCCTAAATGTTCCTAGATGTTCCTAAATGTTCCTAAATGTTCCCAAATGTTCCTTAATGTTCCAATAGCTTTCTGGTCGCTAGTTATACATTCATACTCAAGCCAAAGTTTAAATTAGCAATTCTGATACCGATGATTGTATTCTGATCCTCAATATATTGCTCTTCATCTAGTTATTTGTATTTGACTGACGGTTAGAATGAAATATCTTAACAAACGAGCTGTGCATTGTGCTGCACAAGATCTGCATCAACTTGTCATGCAAAATAGCACTATCACACTATATTTGATAGCTCCATGGAGATATGACTTGGAGATATGACTTGTGCCATCAACTGGTATTTCTCCTGAATTGTTTTGGAAGTGAACGCTTCTTAAAACTGTAAAAATATATCTTCCGAGCATTTCACCTCCGTTCTCACTGTAATATTTTAGCATAAATGCTAAAACTCTGCTTGTTACACATATCGTAGAATCGATGTGTTTTTACGCTAGCTAAAGTTGGAGTAATATTGCTTGTTATCGATGTTAAGTGTTTGCTTGTTAAAAAATCCGCAGCTTGTGCCGTCAGTAGAGCTGCTAATCGAAAACATCATGCGATTGAAAAGGGAGTGGTGACTGGCCAGTCATCGACTGGGGATAAAACTGGGGTAAATGTGATCCTTTTGTCAAAATAATTCCTGTACACTATTCCTCCAAACTTGCAGCTGAATACTTGTTCAGCCCAGTTGTTTCTCATTTTCTCGGATCATCGAATGAACATTTTTCGGAGGGTGTTGTATTTTGCATTCCTTGGCAACCACAAGAATAGATTGCAGTAGGTTTAAATGCAAGTTATATATGTTATGCACGCTAATTTAATTCTTCATCAAACCAAATATTTGTATAACTTTCCTGATACCTGAGAATTTTGAATAAAGAAATTCTTAAATGAACTATCTGTAATAATTCAATGCTTTGTGATTTAAAGCTAAATTTTAATCCGATTAAAAGCTTAATTTTAATCCAAAGGAAAACGATTGAAGAGGGGGTAGCTAAATAAATTGGGCTAAAATAAATCATTCAGCTGAAATACTCCTATTTTGCAGGCTCCTCCGTTAAGTTGCTATAATCGTCACAAAGTAGAATCTTTGACCAAAGGAAAAGTTTCAAAGTCTATTTTACTTGTGGCATTCCTTGACAACCAAAAGAAAAAATTGCAAAAGGTCCGAATCAAAGTTTGTGTTTCTGTGTAAGACAATTTGATGTAGACAAATTACCTTGGTTCTTGAAATAAACTAACAAGAATGATGCAATTTCAATCTGGGCAATTTGAATCAACAGATTTAAAAATTAATAATTTGAATCAATGTCTAAATACGAATAGTGTTGAACACCGTCCTTGTGTTGTTGGTTAATCCAGGAGAGCGGGACATAAATACTTCATTTCATTTCATTTCATTTCAATATGTAATGTGTAAAAAACCTCATTATATGAAAGTAGTGGATCACATTTAACGTAACCGATGTCTCTGGTATGTATAAACTTTTTCAGAACTAATACTCCATATTACAAAATATTTGGATGGTAAATCTGCTCCCACATTTCACATAACTAAGTACCTAGCATTTTAATGGGGGGTAATAAGATATCAAGGTCTTATGACATAATAGTGTTGGTGTAGGACTAAAGATAACCCATTATAAAAGTTAGTTGCTATGGTGCCTTGTTAGTTGCTACGGTGTAGTTCACCAACATAATATATCATAAATCAGAGCTACATTGTTATTTTTATGCGTCTGGATCAACACACATATAATATATTGGCATGGTTGCAAGAGAAAATGTTACGTAATTAAATAAAGTGTAAAGTGTAAAAGTAACCGTACACCCTGACATTACTAATGCCATTCGGGGCTACATGTGGCACCATAAGTTACCATGGTAACCAAAAATAATAGATGGGAGGGAGATCGTTTATACGTCGTTTAAAAAGCGTCTAAATTTGACGGATGGGTATACAATGTGACCCGTGACGTTCCATTTTATGACGTGATTAACTAAAGGAAAAACACAACAGATGTAAATGATAACAAGCAGCTGCACAGATAAAAGAAGTCACACAATGTCCTGCTCCAGCCATCCAGTGCTCATTTCTAGATACCCGTAATGCATGATATCCTTCAAACATAAACATTGCTGTATCCACTATTTCTACCTTTAATTTCCAAGTTATTTGAATTAAAGTCCATTAAGGCCACGTGACCATCAGTGGAGCGTATCATTGGTGGATGGAAGGTACATTAGTTGTGTAGGAGTATTATACAGGTGGTTCAGATATGTTATATGATCGTTTCTGTTCCGTTCTATTTGTTGTTTCTTGTTTGATAGTCCTTAGTGTGCACTAGAGAAGAGTGATATAGATTATAGGTGCTATATAAAGATACAGCTGTCTGCAACAGAGTAGTAGATGTCAAAAAGGAGACGGGTTCGGCACTTAATGCCGAACCGAGTGGCGCTAAAAGACTTGGTATCGGCGAGGAAGGAGCTAGCTGCTGCTCTAGTTAGACATCAGGAGTTGGCTAATAAGATAGTAGTGAGACCTACAGGGCCGGGAAGAGGGGGTTCCAGGCTGCCCAGGGTGAGTCATACAAGCCACTATCTTCCTATCTTACCCTTATTTCATCCTGTAGGATAGAATTTTGGATAAATTTCTTGATAGTCTGGGTCATTTTCAATAATGCATAAATTGTATCATAAACAAATACGTGAAGTAGCTTAAATTACAAATTACTAAAATGTAGGGTCTAACTCTTAAAAGATGTCTCTTTGATATTGACGATGACGTTATCATGACTCGTAGCAGGTAGTTTTAAATATTGCTATTATCCATCATCCATGCTAAAATACTCTCAATTACTGAGCTGTGACGATTGTATGTCGATAACGGTGGGGAGAAAGCGCAAGATTGTTTTGACACGTGATAATGTTTCATTGATTTGATAGGTCGATGTTGCATGCTGATTGTCACGTGTCAAACCAAATCTGATCCCGCGTTTTTGGCCGTTGCTTCGGAGACTAAAACCTACAAAATCTCAACGCTTGCGCCCACACAAATATCACCGCTTATGCCCGTGTAAATTCAACTCCGTAAATGTCACTACTAGTACCCACTATCTACACGTTCATTTAGTTATTAAAACTACTATATTTAATGCGGTTGTTCAATGAGCCACTGCAGAGTTAAAACTAGGTACAAGTTTCTCACATATTCTAACCACACACTAGTTTTTCTTGTGACAAATCTCATGATCATATCGCTGGTGTCGTTAGGTTGAAACTGCAAGTAGGGCGCCATGTGTCTGTGATAACGTGTTTGTTCAGTTGCCATTCGGGGACACGGCAGTGGTCTTTAAATACGTATTGCATATCATCGTAAAGATCGCTATTGTTATCTGCTAACATGTTACAGGCCCGCACGTTACAATGCATCTCACAGAGGCGACAATGATCGGGAAATAGTGTGTAATATTTAAAATATTTTATGGGAAGTTTTTTGTTCCTTGAAAAACCACATGCTGTGTGTTTTTGTATCTGGTGGTTACAAATTATTCACTATTCAGCCTGGATACGACGTTTTGATCAAAAATGATTGGTAGAAATTCCAGAAAAAGCTGGAATAATAGACGGAATAATATATATTGATCATTTTCATGCAATGCTATGATGATTATTCAGGGTGGCTTCTTTACTCCAATATTAACTCTATCGCACTACAACCTATATCATCGGTATAGTTATGTTTAATATATGCTTGAGTAGGAGTTGCCTCGTCATCCATTCTACTAAACCTGCCGCAATATCTACTTGCGACCACTTTTTTTATCGGACAAAAGAATTTCTTACAATAACATGCCAACCAGTAATTCGGTCCTAAGATGTTCTTGTTACTAAATCTTGTTCTAAACAATTGTTGTTAAATAGATCGCTTCGTACGAATTAAATTTTACATTACCTTCACATGGACAAGTTGGATCTTGGTATAGACTGATTTCTAGAATCTAGATCATACTCTAAGTTAATCTAGCAGCAGTCCAACATTGAGCTCAACTGTTGGTGGATCATTAAGAAAAGCTAATAACTGAAAATAACTAAAATGATCACTGATAAAGGGAAATTTTAATAAATATATCCTTGTAATCAAGAAAATAATACTGTGGGGGTAAAAACCAGTTAAATATTTCTTTGATGTTTTTTCTTTCCATTGTCTTCACTTCGCAAGACACCTTGGCTTTTTATTTATTTTTTACCGCATTCCTTTTTATGTCTTGATCTCTACCTCTCTAGGATCTGTTTCTTTCTTGATTAATTATGTCACTGTAATTACCTTTATTATACCTACATGTATTCTATGGTTTATGCTTCTATTTAGTTTAGTGTGGTTTACAATAAAAGATTTTTTAATTGTGTCTTTGCCTTAATATGATGAGTTATACTTTAAACTTTTGTTCACTTTTACACATTTGCTCACATCACTCACAGTCATACCACCTACCTTGTGTTGTTGGTTAATCATATGAGCGGGATATAAATACCTCATTTCATTTCAGTTCATTTTTCTATAAATGTTTCATTCATATATTTTAACATGTATAATTTCAAGGTGGCGCTACATACTTTAAATTCTATTTTTTAGTTTCTGAGGAATACGTTCAATCAACAACAAAGATTGTTTAACCTTACTCAATTTGGTCAAAGAAATCATGAAACATCTCCAAAAAGCTGACTCCGTCAAGATGAAAACAGCTAGATTAGAATTTAGATTTCACAAATATGCCAACTTCAGTACTCATCGGTTTTCATCGTCTCTGAACAGATTGTTCCTTCGTTTGCATTGGTCCACGAATAAGACCTACAGGAATTATATCAAGATCTAAATTCCTCCAAACATTTTTGAAAAGTGCAATTTTTAAGTTTGTACTCATGTCGATACATTGACACTTTTCATTTTTAGCGTAAAACGTTGTTTCTCTTTCAGAATGCAGAGGGAACGTTGTACGGACATTTTGTGCCAGTGCCCAAGACCTTCTTAACAAGGTTAGTTGTTAGCAATATATTATACTATTTTCTTTAAAAATACAATAAAATTACTGAAAATGGCCTGAAAGAAGTGTTGAGAGTTAACCATACCATCCTTAACCCAGTTCTTTGGTTCTTGTCAATACACCTATATTCATTAAACCTTGTGTTTTCCTACAATTCTAATTATGCACGCTCTCAAACTTGAATATTTTACCACTCCATCTCTAGTTGTTGAATAGGATACGTCTACCATCGAACTCTGTACAGAGTGTCTGCCAACTCTGACTGTATTGTTATTGTGTTGATTAACAGAGGGCAGGAAAACAAGCACTTGTCTGCCGTTTTGTCGTGAACTAGTTAGTAACATGTTCACCGCTAGACAGTAACGAGTGAGCGTTGGTGGCTGACTGTAATTTGTAGATTAAATAGGTGTGTCGAGGTTAATGTTAACATAATGTTAGGTTGTTAGATAACCTAATATTATATATTTAGTGGTTAGTAATCTGAGAAACTTTATAACAATTGCTCAGAGTATCTCATTGTACGTTGGAATTGTATTAATTCTGCACACGCGAAAACTTGCATATTTCATTGTTATAAAAAAAAACTTCAAAGCCATACGCAATAAGAACTGAGAGGCTATTCAATCAAAGAGGCCCGCTGTTTTCAAACGGTTCTCAATTCAATCACTCTGAAAAGAGCTTGCATTTAAAAGTTGCTGGCGGCAAATCAATAAGTACATATAAAGCTGATTGAGAATCGAATTGTTCGTCTCACAAAGCAAATTAAACTTATAGCATAACAATTGGAAAAATAACTAAACTTCGGAAAACTGTTTATATTCCTGCTTATTGCCTATTGGCTATTACTGCCTATTGCCTATTATACAGTGCTCACTGATTTACCGATTCAGATTATCATCTTCAATTTCAGGCGAGGAGACATAATCCTGTTCACAGAGAATGCGTGTGATATTATGTATCTAGAGGAGATGTACAGCAGAAAAATACGGGAATTGTACGAACAGCAGATTAAAACAGTTGACGATCTCAATAAATCGATCCTCTTTTACGGCAGTAAAACTCCGGTAAGATAAATATTCAATCCTGTTATGAATTTGAATTGCTAACTTTGACTTCTTCGAGCTGATTTGTCGATGATGATAAAACAAGCAGAGGCTTAACGACCGTTTCTATCCTATGAGACATATGAAATAAGATGAATGGTATCCACACAATGGTTTTACATAATGGTTTTACCCTTATCACTAGTGGCGAAGGAAACATTCCAATATGATGTGTACAGTTGAATGTGTGGGTATTTTAGGATATTATTTCACCTGAGAACGGCAGATAAGATCCACAAGACGCTGTTGCATGTTCAAATAACCACAGTTCTCAATTTGTGTTGGGTTCATTAAGATCTGGATTTATAAGCATGAGACGAATAAGAGGTAAAATTATGACAAAGTCAATCCAGTGAAATCAGCTAATACGTTCATTTTTGTTCATTTCATGAATGCAAGTCTTGATAAAGCGTAAATATCGACATGCTAGCACATCATTGAGGTTACATTTTATAAAAACGGAGTCCTCAGACACCAGACCATGTCCAAAGAATCGTCCAAACTTCTGTTCACTATTGAGCGCACGCGATTAAAAATTTTTCAATATAAGTTGCCTATCGTAATAGTATAATTTGCATTACGAACGCGCGCGCATGTCTTGCTTTTCTGATACATGGATTCAACTAGATCAAACTAAATCCTTGATAACTAGGTTGTCTGATAACGTGTTTACTGCTAACAATGGTTCTGAAGCATTTTTATTTATCTAATTAGGTTCTGGCCTGGTCAACCCCCTGTCACCCGATCTTGAGGTGACGTGCGACACCTCGGTGACCCAATCAATGTCTGGAAGGCTGCAAATTTTCACATGCCAAATTCACAAGATTCTTAAAGAGTTGTGCGAGATGATGATACATAGAGGCCGCAGAATTATGAGGAATACCAGATCCTGGTGGAACCTAAGCGATCCATGATATCACGACAGGCCCTACTGATACAGCTAGATCAACCTAAATCCTTGATAACTGCGTTGTCTGATAACGTGTTTACTGCTTACAATGGTTCTGAAGCATTTTTATTTATCTAAATACCGATAAAATCGTAAACCATGCTCTTACTAAATCAACTAAACATGTTCATCTAACGTGGATGTATAGTGTATACTGTATCCGGTATCGTGATTTGTGGCCAAACGAAACGGTCGTATCTGAGCCCCACCGTAAACCTGCCCATAACCATGACAATTGATAATTAAATTTGCGTTTGGCTTGTCACAAGACTAAAACAGTTTTTGTCTCAATAAATTCTTATGGGATTTTTTAACCCAATGTAAAAGTGAGTGATTCGGAATAAACTTCCAAAAATGTATCGATCTAAGTAAGTTATATAATATAATCAATGAAACACGACAGCGTGCACCGTGGACTCCTCATGAAGATCCTCCTGGCATATGGCATTCCCAAGGAGATTGTAGGCTTGATACAAAGAATGTATGCAGATACTTTTGCTCGTGTGATCACCGAGGGTGGTCTGAGTGAAGCATTCTTTATTCTAGCAGGAGTGATGCAGGGAGACACCTTGGCACCCTATCTATTCATAATCGTAATTAACTACATTATGAGGGTGTCCCTAGAGGGTAAGGACTTTGGGTTTACTCTACACCCTAGAAGAAGCCGACGCTATCCGGCTGTCAAGGTCACTGATGCGGACTTTGCTGACGACCTTGCTCTTATAACAGATAGTGTTGCAGAGGCACAAGATTTCCTCAGGAGTCTGGAACTTGCCGCTAACTCAGTTGGACTCCACCTGAACGAGGGGAAAACTAAGTACATGGGAATCAACATAAGAGATGAAGATAGCCCGACTCTGGTTGCTGGGAGCGGGAAGACCATCGAGAAAGTCGATGACTTTGTATATTTGGGTAGTAGAATGAAGAGCTCGGAGAAGGACTTCGAAGTGAGGAAAGCTAAGGCATGGGGAGCGTGTCACCAGATGAAGCTTGTATGGAAGTCGGATATGCGTAGAGATCTCAAGATACGACTGTTCTTGGGTACAGTTGAGTCCATCCTTCTATATGGCTCAGAAACATGGACTGTCAGCCAGACCCTCGCAAAACGTATTGATGGATTTTATACGAGAATGCTGAGGATGGCACCTCATCAGAGCATCTGATAAGATAGCTTAACGGAGGATGAGACTCGCAGGTCATCTAGCCAGACATGAGGAACTTCTGAGTCATCAACTTCTCTTCTGGGAACCCCTTCAAGGACATCGTCGAAGGGGAAGACCACACCTCACGTATATTGATATCCTTCGGAAGGACACGGGGCTTGACGACAGCAAGGAGATTAACAAACTCTTGCTGGATAGACAGATTTGGAAAAAAAAAACTATCTCTGTTCGGACGTTGAAGCCGCCCTAAGTCGAGAGTAAGTAGACATAATATGTATACCCAGAGCCCTCTATTTTTGTTAGATTTTGACTACTGTGTGGTATTTAGTGAGACTGATGATGTCTGCGACATTTTCTTCGGAACTAAATACCATAATCTGTACAGTTTAGGAGTTCTGCATAAAATTATGAATTTCTCTTATACGCTTCTGGGTGACTCAGCTGAAAGATCAAACTATCCTTCTAGTTCCGACGTTTGTTCTGTTAACGTACAGTGGCGTAACGTTGCCTGTGGGCGCCCCCGCCGAAAATGCAACGTCTGTTAAAGTAAACCTGTGTAACATGTCTAACGTTCTGCTTATTTCAAACTTTTACCCTAAATACTATACAGTATACATTAATATATTGTGTTTGAACTACCATATCGTTAAATCTCTTAAGTCATCCCTTGGGTAAGCAAATTCCTACCGGACCGAATCTCTACCGCCACAATCACATCGATTAAAAATACCGGACCAAATTATTATTGGACCAGTTAAATTCCGGTATTTGGCACTTGTATAGAAAATCGCAAGAGGGTTCGGGTAAACTATCCTGGGCTCAAAATAAAACTTTTACCGAAGCTTAGAACATACTTTTTTGCGAGGCATATTTAATTTTACCCCACCTCCCCCAAAAATCAATTTGATTCGTTGATATCGAGCATCAACAGTCTCTTTACGATCATTCAACGACAATTCTGTTTTTACAGTTTCGGTCAACTTCGAATATTTATTTTAACTAACTACAGTTTTTTTCCGATTTCATTTCTGAACTATCCTTATGAGTATTGCTGAAAGCACAGTGTAAGGCCTACACGGACCGCCTCTAACTAGCCAATCCCTGTTTACATGCCGTGTAGCAGGGGACTAGAAAGAGCTAAACTAGTATCTCAAATATACATTTTTGTCTAAACATGGCGTTTAAACCCCTTTTTGTCTAGCTCCTTAGAAAGTTGAATACAACCAGTAAATCTAAATAGACCAGCTGGTAACGGATCCATCTGATCATTGGCAGCAAATTCTGATCTCAAAAATGCAAAATAATAATCGCCGAATAGATGATAGATCAGTGATTATGTTTGTGGGAAATCATCTGAAAAAATTAATAGTTTATTTTTCCATCGGTCACACGATTTCATGTCAACTCATTGATACCCTAGCAGAGTTCTGATATACCAGAAACAAGTTGAGGTTTATTGATCTCACATCTCCTTGACAAGCAGGCAGGTCAGACGATCAGCCATGCCTCAAACTATAAGACAGCGTTGGCATGCTCAAAGATCCTACCGTGCTTGTTGTTCATAAACGTACAAGTTTAAGGTTGCTGTTAAAACACGAGTGAGGTCAATTGGGTATGGATTTTCGTCAATAAATGAGTTAGTCGCATATAAGAATTGTAACATAATATACCAAATGATCATGTAACCGAGACTGTACTAAATCTGAGGAAACCGCATTGTTTAGTCTTGAACAATAAATATCTCCAAGAACAATAAGGCCATACAAGAATTAAATTAAAATTCTATATTCTGACTGTGGTTGTGAATGTATGTACTTTTGTCTTCGTCAATCCACAGCAAGCAAATAGGACAGTAGGTTCTAAGAATTTTAACTGACTTCTTAAGATCACCTTGTCGGCTTTTATTGATAGTAGCAAGTATGACGCTGCAAAGTCGTACCGCACCTAAATCGTTCAAAAATGGATAGCTGTGTGAACCATTAAATTCTTTAATAACCTTTCTCCTACAGTAAATTTTCTGTCTGGATGCCATAAAACTTACTCGGCAGCTAAAGAACACGTACTCATATACCACAAGTTTATTTTCGATACAAACCGTAAAATCAAGTGCGGTTCTTTAGGATGGCCTGTTATTTGGAATTTCTGTTAGTTTGATGGTTTCAAATACCACGCAACAAATCCCCTTTAAACTGAAGATAATGAAGAATATTAAAGATAGTTCTATGTGCATGAGACAGTGAGATATTACCGTCCCAGCATGACGACGTCTTTTGTTACTCTCATTTAAAAGTTTATATCTAGTAAAAAGACCAGTACAAGTAGTGAAATGGTGCGGGCGGTTTAATTGGACAATGGCAAAGGGCAGTTATCTTTTGTACGAACTATTAAGTATCATTTCTAGTAAGGTCTATCGTTTGCTGTTTTGTTGAACACGACTGTACGCTAATAAAAGCAAGAGTGAATTCTGGACTGTAAGTTTGATTATTGAGCCTTATTTTGATTTTAGTAATGGCGGTCGATCTGGATTGAAATTCTAGCCGGGGCCGGAAGAGGATTTCCAATCGCGAACTCAGCAGTCCTCAGTCTCCAGATTGAGACTGTAAAGTGTTAAGTCAGGGGTCCTGTAGTAGGATAAGTTGTTGTCAAAATCTAACATTGTTCATCAGATCTGACCTCATGTTCCCCGTTTATAACCTTTGGAACTGAACGATTAATCTGCAACTAAACCGCAGGGCGAGTACAGTCTAAACTTTATCCGTGGAAAGTTCTACAGTGACCGTGACATAGCAGTACAGCCCGGTCATTTACCCACCCACTACCTTAACTCGCTGACACGACACATCAAGCTCAGTTCAGTACTCCGGCCACGTGCTCCTGTTGGTCCTCCTACTGGCACACCCTTCGGTGTCGACCCTGTTGTCAAAAACATCAAGCTTCCTGTTCCAGGTTTTTGTACTTTCCTCTTATTTAAACTCGTACAGTTTAGATGGATATTTAAGCAGAGATTTTGTTGTGAAGTATTGTAATTGAAGGTTTTGTTGTGAAGTATTGTAATTGAAGGTTTTGTTGTGAAGTATTGTAATTGAAGGTTTTGTTGTGAAGTATTGTAATTGTTGGAATGGCAGTAACACTATGATAACCAGGACTGACCGATGTTATGGAGAGTTCTGATGATGTAGAAGAATATGATGGACAGTTGGTGGTGAAACGAGATAAAAAAGAAAAGAGTTCGCCTTCTCCTGTGGACAAGAACAAACTGCCGCCCATTCAGGTACTGATTTTTTGAAGTCAGGAGATCTTCCAACAAAGACCGACTGTTATAAGTATTGGCTGTTTCTGGCGGTGAAAATAGAATTTTTTTTTTTTTTTCTTTTTTTCTTTTCTTTTAAATATGCAACCTACTAAAACCAATGGGGCCCTCCCCGGGGTCATTACTCTCGCATTTGCGAGAGTCGTCCCAAAGGTGTGAAAGTAGGTCAAGATTTGTTCCCACCAAGCCCTGGCATCGCTATTTGCTGACCATATGCCTTCACTGAAGGTATGTTTTTAGAGAGTGGAGGCCGACCGTCAGCTTGGGATGCAGGGCCAAGTGGTCAACAACGTCTAGGCCCCCTTCCACATGGCCTGGGCCATGTTGGTTTTGGCAGATACTGTGGTAATAAGATATGAAGTGAATGAGTGAAATGAAGTGATTGAAAAGGGTGTAAAAGAGGAAGAGCTTGGTGAAAATAGAATCTGAAATAACTCAGTACCACTAATAATATCTTTGTCGAGCAACTAACAATATCTTTATTTCCTCGCCACCTTTTCAGTTTTCTAAGAAATACGACCCTCGTCCTGCGAAGGGTGGAGGATCTCCAACACTCCACAAAGTCAAATTGAATTCAGACACTCTGGGTCTACATGGAACTAACGCACTGCCCCCGCAAAAAGGAACAAGTGAAATCCCAACATTACCTAAAGTTATGACTGGTGGGTTAAACGAGTTGTAATTATGAGATGAGTTTTGGTTTCATTTTTAGTTCTTGCTATTCTGCCCAAAAAACTTGGACGCAAGCAAACCAGGCACAAATTTAAACTGATGATCCCCCAGATATTTGTCTGAAGGAGTCTAGAACCACCAAATGATTGTTTTCACTCGTACATAATAATTACTAATTATTAATATTTATTACTAATAATCGATCGGTTACCAAATATCTTCTTTTACGCTTGGTTTCAGGTCAGGCAGTTCACGACATTAATCAATAACTCTTTTTATGTTTTATTGATATCTACCACTTTAGGTCCCTCCGCAAAAGGAAAGAGCCAAGGGGATTGGAAGAAGTTAGGCACATTGATTGGTAGTGTTAACGTTTTGAAGAGACTTGGAGAGAGTAAGCAAAAAGAAAGAGAAACGCTTAAGGAAGCAGAGGAAGCCAAGGTTAGCACTGGCCTGCAGTCTCAATTTACATGTCCTTGTTACAATTTTATTTTCCAAGTTTTAAAGAAACTTGGCATGTTCACCGATGTTATCTTCCTTTTTTAAAACTATGTTCCGACAGGATCAAAAGCCGATTTACAGAAGTGCGATGGCAATGGACATCCACTTTTTGAAGGAGAATCGTCGTCATATTAGTGAGTACTAAAGATGATATAAGTGCTCATGTAGAGCTAGGTAAAGTGATTTAGAGTGAAGAAAGAGCGATAGCGAGTGACAAAAAATCACAATTCACAACCACGCACGTCGCCTGTCACCTCAAAATGTAATTTCCAGTATCACGTTAACAGTTAACAGGTTACACAGATTTAAATATTTTATTTTAAATAAGTCTGACGAGCTAGTTTCACAGGCAGAGGTGATCCTGAAGCAGCTCTTGGTGCAGACATGTCGTTAGACGATATTCTTTTAGGACTGAGTAAGTGTCGTTAAAACTTTCATTTATCGATATTTAAAAATACTTAAACTTTCTATTTTTTTTCGAGTAGCAGCCTGATGTTGGTTCCAAATCCTATACAGTATTCATCCGTTACCGCAGACGGCATAAGTTATGTTGTTAATAAGTATCTGTTTTTTTTCAGAGGATAGACACGGAAAGAAGCCCGTACTCCCCCCACTTCAAGTGCAGTGGAGTCCTGAAGTAGATAAAAGAGAAAGACAGGAGAGACAAGAAAGAGAGGAGAAAGAGGAGTTGGTGGCAGAAGAAACCCTGTCTCGGAAAGGCTCTGGAAACACTCGCAAATCTCCAAAACAGTCCAACACAGCTACACCCCGCAGGTTTTTCTAGTCATAGAATGGATAATGTATATTGTATAAGTTTTCTCAATATCTTCTTAGTCGCAAAAAAGGAAGGAAAATAATCTGGTTTGTCGTACATAACAGCTTAAATAAATATTTCAGGACATCACCTTACCCAGTTGGTGGGTCGAGAAATTCTCCGGATACCTCTGTGAAGAAACCTTCTCCTGTAGCCAATTCTACCTCACTAAACGGCAAGATGATCTCACCGTTTGGCGAAAAGACTGTGTCACCTGGTTCAAAAACTGGGTCACGCGTTGGCTCAAAAGAAGGCAGCAGGAAGGGCTCTGGAAAACCTGTTGAAGAACCAGTTTCAGAACCACCTCAACCCCCTATCAGTAAGTATACAAACTTAAAGCTATTTACAATACTGTGAAGCTTTAAAATTACGAGTTCTTCTATCGGGTAGTGGTGCATCAATATTTATTGAAATTTAGTGAGAAAGTCACTATTGTGACGGTACATTAGAACTAGACAGAAACATTAGAACTAGACAGAAACACTACTACAAATGATTTTCTCACTACAGTTTACCAATCAAATTGGTCTCCCGACGCAGCTGAACAGGAGCTGCCGGATATTCAGATTGATGTTGATATGGTGAATGCTGACATGGATGAGTATCAAGATCACGTTCAGCAGGCTAGGATGCTTCTTGCCCTGCAACAACAGCAACAACAGGTAAGTTATGCGATAGTGTGCTGCTGTGTGCGATAATGTGCTGTTGTTTACTTACCTGTAATTATCAAAGTCCAAGAGAAATAAACCGATTATATGCAGAATAAACTTCTTAGCAAACCCAATTAAATCTCGCACTTTGATCTTGATAGTCCATTTCTTATGCTTAACTTTGCAGCTTGAAATGGAGGAGGAAGAATTAAGAAGATTAGAGGAGGAAGAGGCAATACTAGGTGGCAGTCCTAACAGTATTCCTGCTCTGTTCGTCGATGACACTGATCAGGTTCACTATATATATACTTCTACATTATATTCCATACGCCCATACAGTTTCAAAACATTTTTTTGTATGCTTCTTCTTGCTGATCATTGTTACTCTTATCTGAATTTCTTATATTTATCTCGGTCAAGTTTCTATCATTAACAAACTTCATGTCAGGTGTATGTGGGAGAGATATATGGAGACGTTGAGCCTGATCGGAGTCTCAATCCGAATGTTCCATTCGACTACATGGGTTTGGTGAGGAGTCTGTCTCGGCATGATAACGCAGCGGAAACAGGCGAACTCGCATTACAGGTTCGGAGTTTTTTATTTGGAAGGGCTGGTTTGTCAAGTCTGATGTGTGTTTGATACTTTATTTTATAAACAAAGGTTAGACCACTACTTATAATATTAGCTCTGTAACATAGTTTGTTTATCTGCAGAGTCAGTCTCTGGGAGGTGGAGGATCAATGTCCCAGCCTCTACAACCGGGTCTGTACGTCATGAGACCCTCCAATACTGCTGCACAACAACTTGGTCCCCAATCTGGTCCCCAACTTGGTCCCCAAACCGCACAGTGAGTGTAATTAATATAACTTTCAGTTTGAAAGTAAGTTTTGTAGTCCATTTGATTTAGATCGTATGATGGTAAGTATCGAACTGTAGTTCTTATGCCGAGATGAAAGTATTAAAAAGACGTTTAATCACTGACGTTTTATTTACTGTAAACTTTAGTATAACCAATCACGTGATAACAATTTTAATGTATGTGGTATATCAATGGTATACCGTTAAACACGGATAAATACCAGCACCAGACTGTCAAAAAAACCATTAATTTTAAGTCACATGTTAATCATTTCCATGAAACCCAGCCGCCTTATTTTATTCGTGAAATGTGATTGGTTCTGCAAGCTGAAGGTTGCCGGTGAGGTACAAATCTCAATTTATCAAATCTCAAGCTAACTGTCAATATATTGAAACGGAGTTATTACTTGATTTGGTAAATTGATAAACTTTATAGAGATACAGAGATTATAAAATATAATTCAATTGATAAACTTTATAGAGATACAGAGATTATAAAATGTAATTCAATATATTATACTATTTTGAATATACTATGTATTAACAGTATATCTAAAATAATAACTGATACAGTTGGTATTGTTTCTCTGAAGGTTATCGAGCAGATCATTGAGCGGAAGCGTGACGAATAGAGAAGGTATGTTGAGTAGAGAAGGTATTAGAAGAGGAGCTGGTTCCAGTAGAGGAGCTGGTTCTAGCCCTAGTTCCAGTACGTCTGTGAGGAGGATTAGCAGCCATGTTCACACCAATAGTCTCTCGTTTCACCCATACCCAGAAAGGCATCTTCTCTTTTCCACTGTAATAGGAATCCTGAGCAAGCATGTAAGAAGGTAGGTTGGTGGCATCTCTTCGTCTTCGGACAGTAGAATCTTTAGGGTAGAGCATGTCCTGTAGACTAATCAGGTGGGAGAGTAATTCCTCAGTCTCAGCTCCAGGTCCAAGATTGGTGAGAACTCTGGTTATCAGGTTTTTAGGGTAACCAAGCTTGGTGGCATACTGTCTGAAGGAGGTGTCAGTTAATTGAGAGGGATTTAGTTGTTCAGGTAGGTGGAGGTTAGGTTCCAGAACAAAGGGTAAGGAGGAGGGTTCCACGATGAAAAATGTCTGTCTGGTAGGAACTGTAGAGACTATTTCAGATGGAATAAAAGGGGTCGAGGTAGTAGTAGAGGGTTCCATTGAAAAATATAGTGGATGTCGAAGAATTGTTGTAGTAGTTGATCGATAGATGATAAAGCTGGATAATTAAACTTTAATTGTAGCAGGTTTAAATACAGATACCCCTGAAGGTCTGAGCTTGTTATCTGCTGTAGCTTAGCATGGTGATGTGATCCGAGTACATTATACGGGACCTTACTATCTGAGCCGCTTGACACCGTGTTTCACTATGTCTCATTGAATCTGATCGCGTTTGCTGATCTGAGCGAGCTTTGGTGATGTCAATTTGGATCAGATCATATCCCGAGCACCAAATAAACAAGAAATGCGGCCGCTTTTTTTTGTGCATGGCCGCTCAATTTCCCGATCCGTGATGGCGTATTTTATCATTTTCTATACAACCTGGGGACCCCAGTTTTTACTGTTTATAAGTATGCAGATATGGCGAAGTGACAGGCCGAGCGCCACCAAGTTAATATAATTCCATATTGAATTTGAAAATCGTGTATATTTTTAAAAACCATATGCTTATTGTTTATGCAACCTGACACCCGACACGGATGTGTGCAAAATAGTATAAGTAACTCAAAATAATAATAGTATGCTATCAATTAGTGCCTAGTGGGATATGTACATGGTGAAATTAACAATGTACTTGGTCAGTTCAGCGCCGCGCGCCAACAATTAGCTAATTCGGATTATTCCGCAAAATAACTTTGCGCAGGTAGTCACGTGGGCGATTACAGTGTGTGCAGGCAGGTACGGTCGCTCGCACGCTCGCAGGTACGGTCGCAAAGCTACCATATACAAAAAAAACCTCGTTCGCTAACCCTTGTCCTTGACTCTTTTGTGCCTCCGGCACTTTGAGTCATGGATCGGGAAAAAATATGAGAGAGACTCCAAGGAGTTACCATACCAAGTGGTAGCTCAAAAATTCCAAAAAATGTACGTTATCTGAAATTTCATCAACCCGAAATATGAAATTTAGGTCATGTAAGAGATGACCTTGCTCTTTTTCCTTAATTCCAAAAGATATTAACTTAAACCATTTCAAGTGTCATTGAACTCAAAACGGACACCTTTCCTCATGGCACGCTAGGAGAAAAGGACCCTAACATTTTGTTATTTGTTGCGCGGACAAGTCTCACGATTACGAGTTCGGACCCCGCTCCTTCCAAATCTAAGATAATTTGAACACATTTTATGCAAATTTTCGATTATATTCCTGCTCTTTAACATTGCAACAAATTGCGACTCTGTTTAAGTTCGAACCTTCGTCTATTCTGTGTAAGAGCTTGGTTTAAAGGAGTAATGTGACATTAAAGAATAAAACAATAGGCATCTGCAGACATACTAATGCTCAAATTTCCAGTTTTAAACCAAATATTTTGTCACCCAGGTAAGTTAAGATTTTACATAACCTGATGCTTAGCTCAGAAGCGAAATCTCCAGCTCTCGATCGAAATGTAATATGTTCAACATGTATATTTTACTCTATAGTTTACCGAGAGTTGAAAGAAATAATAGTTGATAACCTCTTCTGATCGCTGTACAAGAGAAAGCAAATTGCGGCAAAAGTTTGATGAACATCAGTATTCACTATTCAATATGCCTCGTGGTGATACAAACGGATTTGTTTAAAAAATGTCGTGAGAAGTTGGCCAAAAAAGTAAAGAATAGAAAAATGTTGCCAACTGGCGGTTTTTAAGATTTTGATGACTCTATCATTGAAATTTGAATGTCCAATGTCCATGAAACACGGAAAGCAGTAAAGTTTTTTGTGCTATCTACTGACATGATCGAAGTAAAGAGGCTCTGAAGGTGCACATGCGGGGTATGGACCCTCACCAGGTGATGTCTACAGGAGACGCATGAATTATTCAGCATTCACAGTACCTGTCTCTATTCATAGGAAGTACTAGCACCACTTAACATACAGGTGTAAATTTACAATCTGATATCATTTCTATAATAAATCACGGTGCATCTAAGGGAGCACATGCACCAAGAAGTCAAAAGTTAGGTTAGATCATTTGAAGAAGAATAGGAGCGCAACGAAAAAGTGACTTTCTGTAAGCTCCTTTACGACAATCCATAATTCCTCAACCCTGGTGATCCTCATTCCTCAACCAAAATAATTGTTTTCTGAGTATATAATTTCATCCAGCATGTTGAGGAGAATAATGAATTCTCGGTAGGCACCCAGACCGGGGAAGATCGTGCTAACGATCTTTTTCAGTAGAATATCACTCCAAAGGTCAAGAATATAAGCTCTAGATAGGACCGTAAAATAAACTGTATCGAACTGTAGTACTTTAACCCAGAGTTAAATCAAATTAGTAAAATTAAATAATTTGTCTGGTCTTGATAGATCGAAGGCATTTTTCGTGAAACCCGGCGTAAAACGCAGCCAATAGATTGTAACATCTAGTTAGTTAAAAGATAAGTTGATGCAAAGTTAACCCCTTAAAAAGGATTTAATTTTTAACAAAAAACGAAACATTATTTTATTAAGATGAAATTGTAAAATGAAATAAATTCTACTATTTTAAAATCATTAATCTATAAAAACTGATACAGTATGTTATTGCTTCTATACACGCTGAAAGTTATCGAGCAGTTCATTGAGCAGTTCATTGAGCGGAAGTGTGACGAGTAGAGAAGTTGTGTTGAGTAGAGAAAGTATTAGAAGAGGAGTTGGTTCCAGTAGAGGAGCTGGTTCTAGTTCCAGTACGTCTGTGAGGAGGATTGGCAGCCATGTTCACACCAATAGTCTCTCGTTTCACCCATACCCAGAAAGGCATCTTCTCTTTTCCACTGTAATAGGAATCCTGAGCAAGCATGTAAGAAGGTAGGTTGGTGGCATCTCTTCGTCTTCGGCCAGTAGAATCTTTAGGGTAGAGCATGTCCTGTAGACTAATCAGGTGGGAGAGTAATTCCTCAGTCTCAGCTCCAGGTCCAAGATTGGTGAGAACTCTGGTTATCAGGTTTTCAGGGTAACCAAGCTTGGTGGCATACTGTCTGAAGGAGGTGTCAGTTAATTGAGAGGGATTTAGTTGTTCAGGTAGGTGGAGGTTAGGGGTGGGTTCCAGAACAAAGGGTAAGGAGGAGGGTTCCACGATGAAGAATGTCTGTCTGGTAGGAACTGTAGAGACTATTTCAGATGGAATAAAAGGGGTCGAGGTAGTAGTAGAGGGTTCCATTGAAGAATATAGTGGATGTCGAAGAATTGTTGTAGTAGTTTATCGATAGATGATAAAGCTGGATAATTAAACTTTAATTGTAGCAGGTTTAAATACAGATACCCCTGAAGTTCTGAGCTTGTTATCTGCTGTAGCTTAGCATGGTGATGTGATCCGAGTACATTATACGGGACCTTACTATCTGAGCTGCTTGACACCGCGTTTCCCTATGCCTCATTGAATCGGATCGCGTTTGCTGATCTGAGCGAGCTTTGGTGATGTCAATTTGGATCAGATCATATCCCGAGCACCAAATAAAAAATATAAGAGAGACTCCAAGGAGTTACCATACCAAGTGGTACTTACTAACTTATGTTACTTATGTGATGCTTTAGCTGCGCTGCAGCAGGGCCATCAACTGAAATGACCACCCTTATGCTTTACTTCGGACAACCATGGCTTTATAGTCACGGCATGTAACCGGCACTTACAGGAAACCGAAGGATCAAGTCTAACGCCAGCGACGGTTAAGGTATTATACCACACTTTCTTCGCCCGAAGCTTCGCTGTATTGATCATGTACAGCTCCTCATTTAACCCTCACACACGATTTCTCGAGCATTCGGCTGAGTAGACCGGGGGGCTGCATAGG